CAATAAAAGATTCTAGAAATGAATTATATCAAGACTAATTTACAAACTAATTACAAGGTAAAGGCTAACAGTAAAAGACTTTCTAAAGCGATCGGTCCGACATAGTGAGATATAAAAAAAATCCTCCTGTTTTTCAGACGCTGGGTGTGAGAACCGGCCAGCGGAGGTAGTAGATTAGGCAGTTTGTGTTGTTGACAATATCATTAAATAATTCAACAGATAATGGCCTGGATTAAAACCGGCCCTCTTAAGGTAACGCAAACGATACAGGCGGCATGCGACCTTGAACGTGACAGCATCCACGTGATCGTCCCATCTCAAGTCATTTCGGATCGAAACCCCTGGGACTTAAGCAGAAGATACTCTCTCAAAGTGTACGCCATGTAGCCCAACCTGGACATAAGATGGACATAAGATGGTGGTATGTTCTAAAACAAGTAACTAACTCTTTGCTCTTGGCTGTTTTTTATTTTTATTTTTTTCTTTCTATAGTCCAGGAGAGCAGTTCTCACAGTTGAGCCAGTGCCATCCTTAACTCGCAGCCAATGGAGGAGCATCGATATGAGAGCGAAAGTAAATGAAGGTTCTGGAATAAAATCAAACTGGCCAGGGTCGCACCACCAACCACCAACCACGAGGTTTCGATCTTTTTGAAACTTTTTTCTCATAGTAGATCTTACGGCAACGCTTCTCTTTGCGATTGACCTTATTTCGCAGTAGCCTGAACAAAGAGCCATTGCCCGATGCCGTCGAGCAAAACCTTTTAGCTGGCAATTTATCCAAGGGCGATCAGTTTCCTGGACCCTTACTCAACGCTCTGGCATGACAAATCAGGGTGGAAAAGGTCGGACCAGGGCACCAGCAGTAGAAAACGACCAACACTTGCTATTTTACTGAGCCGCTTGTTCCTTGTTTTGATGACCTTCAGCCATAGGCGTACGGGCACTTTCGGACTCGCGTCTAATGAGGAACCTTTTTTACAAGTTTTGGAAATAACGCCAACAGCATTATTTTGTAATGTTTTCTCTCAAGTGTCGTTGCCCGAATCATAAGCGTTTTGCACAGCACACTGAACATAAAACATGTATGACGTTGGAAACAGAGAGAGTTTTGATGCACTCGATAGCTGGCTGGAGGAGATAAAGAAAGATATTGGAAATCCTGCTGACTTTGAGAGCGTTGCATTTGCTGTCTGTGCTAACAAGGTGAGAAGGGAGTCGTTGCACACAGTATTTAATCTTCTGAAAAAATGTTTTGGCACCTCAACTCTCATAACATACATGTACCCTAGGGCATTAACCGTGCAACAATCCCCAGTTAGGGTGGCTCAAAACAGCTTTCCAGCACTTTCCAAGACGTAGATTTTGATGGGTCATTATAACCACTCTTAATCATATACAGCTGTACTACGACCATGGAATCAAAACTGCCCAATCATTGCTGATCACCTGGTTATTATTTTGGTGACACTGTGTGCTACTATAGCAACAGTTTGACCTTGTAAAAACACCCTTAATTTTACCTGCAACTAGTTACATTTCAGAAATGGCACAATGAAACTCTTTTTTGTTGTCAAATTTTGCGATGCGACTTTTGACAAAATTGCAACGCGACGCAACAGGGTTAGGGTCAGCCGGATTCTGACCTCGGGACGAGGTTGGGGTTTCTCGTGAAGCATATTAGATTTTCCACTTAACACCATTTTTCTGTAGCTTTTCTGTCAGTGTTTCACGACTTTCAGTGGAAAATTCTTCTAAAATTCAGTGTAGCGAGAAAAACCTTTATTTCCAAAATTATGAAGGAAAAAAAAAAAAAAACGTACGGGATTTGCCATGTTGTTATATTTGATTATCTAGCTATCCGCTATCTAGTTGTACCTATTGTAACGTAGGGGTTGTCACGCGTGCACGTTTTATTACACTTTATTCCGACAACCCATCTCAAAACAGCTGTATGCAAGCTACTATTATATTTCCTTGAATTAACAAACTCATGAACCAGAATGTGCAGGATGGCGGAACCTGCCTGCCGCCGCCTCCTGTCATTAGGCTGATTTAGCAAGAGAACGGGAACGTCACTTGGCGACTGCGCGCGAAGTACAAATACCCAAATATGGTCAGATGATGACTGCAGGGCGCGCGGAATAACCTGGATTCTGTTCTAATTTGACCATATTTGGGTTTTTGTTCTGCGCGTGCCGTCGTCAAGTGACGTTCCCGTTCTCTTGCTAAATCAGCCTATAATCTCGTTCAACTCTGCCACAGACCCCGGCCCCGAGTCCTCATTTTACTGACCGGCCGAACGAAATGAAACAAGACACGAAAAACTCCTGAATATGGTAACACAACCACTAACTCTTCTTACAGACTGATAGCAGGAAGAGAGTTGTGGATGAAACAGAAGGCCAACTTTGGGCAGACAGTCATGGATTTCATTATTTTGAGACATCAGCACAGACAGGCGATGGAATCAATGATATGTTCCAAGTAAGAGTGAATCTTGTGTCACGAGTCTGTAGATAAATCACAAGTAGTAGTTACGAACTGCGGCGGTTTCTCCTGAAAGCCAGTTCGCCCTATGCTAGCTCGCCGGGACCAATAATCGGTTT